CGTGAAGGGTGGGGCCCAGCAGCCCTCGAGCTGCACGAGCAACTTTTTCCTCCAGAGGAAAATTGTGCAACCTCTTGTTTGGTTCCACAATCATAACAGGCTCAACATTATGGGGGAAAAAGCAAAAACATTCCTTTAAAAGGAAACCTTTGCTTTTTCAAGAAGATAAATGTGGTCTGAAACTGGAAGCATGTTATTAACATTTTACAACTGGATGGAAAATGTAGCATTTGTGAGGAATCTCTCCAGACCAGGAAACAATAAGAGGAGAATGTGATTTACAGGCAAAAGCAGAAAAGCCTGTCTCAGTTTAGAAAACAGGCTCTAGATACGTGGTCTGCTCCTCATGCAGCCAATTGTGGTTCTAGACTGGTGACCTTTTCTTCAAAGCACTCTTCATATGCTAAATTGAAAGATGAACTGACTTCTTCTTTTCTTTCCTTTTTTTTTTTTTTTTTTTTTTTTTTTTTTTTTTTTTTTTTTTGGTACCATGGCTCAAACTCGGGACCTTTGCACTTGGAAGAAGGCAGGCATGGGGCCACTGAGCTAAATCCCTGGCCCTACAATGACATTTTTTTTAGATGACAGTTTGAAATACATACAAATGTTTGAGGCATCAATCCTGTTTCTTCTAAGAATTTATCTTACAGACTTGTCCACCAAATCTCATCAACATACAAAACAGAATCCTACTGTACCCGTGTAATGAAAACAACCTGAACACGCATTGGAAAGAGAAAGGTTTGACTGATTCATACAATGAAAAACTGCAGCAATTTTTTAAAAATGAGGTAGACCTAAAGGTTCTAACTTGAAACACTTCAAGATATATTAAGTACAAAAGGGTGTAGAATTGCATTTTATTGGCATTTGAAATATGGATAAAATCTTCTGGGGTGATATAAAAAATGTTCAAAGTGGTGGCGGGAACTGGCGTGCGTGTCAGAAAAGTGACTTCATTTCACATCTTTCTGTACTGTCCCAATTTTTATCAAGCATGTATTAACTTGACTGAAGTAATAATATATGGTTTACGACTCACTTTGAATAGAATAGAGTAAGATAAAGCTTCGCTTTGCTGATATAGCCCAGGACACTGAGAATCTTAAAAATGAATTTCTTTTCACCTTTCATCCTTCAGGATAGATTTCTAAGAACACATTCCATGAGCCAGTCTGTCTCCCTGAGAGATTGAAGGTGCACCTCATGTTAGGGCAAAGCCCCAGTGTAATGTATTAGACCCAACCTGCACACTTAGACTCAAGTGCTCAGCAGGCCCATTTTAGAGTCATAAAATACCCCGGGGTGCATATTTTGTTTTAAATACCTTTCCTAAGATCTCCTTTTAAAAAATATAATTTCTTTTTACAGAGTCACAGGTAACAACAGCGGAGGTGGGAGGAGACCATGGCTTGGTGAAGGTCAGGATGCTGCTCTCAACCCTCTGGCTTCACCCTGCCTCCTCTTTCTCCCCAGTACCTTTGACTCACTGCTACTCATTAGGAAGAAGAACTGGACAGTTCGCTCTGCTGGAGAGTTCTCAGCACATAGAACTGTACCTAGCACACAGCTTACAGCCACCAGGGACCCATCAAAGGAAAGACTGAATTGATGTATATATTGTAAAAATCTCTTTGGCACTGAGACTTATAAAAACAAGGTAACTACTGCCACAATATTTAATTGTCTTTCTCTAGCTTTGATTTGCTAGTAATAAAAATAAAGACAACTGCATGCCCTGGCACTTGTATTCATGTGAAGTTAAACCCACTCACTGTGTGAATTAGACCTCTTTCCTCTCTGTTGAAATGTTTCAGCTAAACAGAAACTCTAATCTCCTTTCATCTCCTGGTATCCATAGATGTCTGATCTGCTGAACTGAATTTTGACATTATTCTAAATCAAAGAGAGGAATGATCTCAATGCGACATTGGGTTTGTGTAATTAAAAGTTACCACTTAAAGCACCCGCGTTTTCTAATGACCATTTTTTGTGATCACTTAGCAGATCACTTCCCTTTCTTATCCATCCATCCGAAACGGACAGCGCTCCCTTTGGCAGCTTTCTTGGCCCTGTTCTGACACGTGCAGTGCACCCCTTCCAAACGGAGTGAGCCTGAGCTACATCATGAGTTGGAGACCAGCAAATACAGAGCAAGACCTTGTCTCAAGAAACAAAACAAAGCAGAAGCCAGGAGATAGATCTCTCCTTCCCGTTTGGAAGGGGATCAAGAGACGGAGAGAGGGGGCACAGAGAGAGGGAAAGGAGATGGAAAAAGGAATTATTATGTACACGTACTAACTTCACACAAACAATGTAAACGTGTATTGCCAACATGTATTAATGAAAATAAAAATTTAAAATGTAACAAAGCTATAGATTTCAATTATGTCTTTCTTACAAAATTTAAAGCTTCCTTTTTACCATAAAACCTAAATAGCAAATAACTAATTTTAACCACCAAACCTGATACATTTCCAATAAGCTTCCCCAAACTGCTACGATGATCTAGCCTGGGGTGACTTTTCCTCAACTCACTCAGGGCAGCCCATACTGTGGGTGCAAAAGGCCAAAAGAAATGCAGTTTTCACTTGTGAATTCTTACTGAAAAACACACGGATAGGCTCAGGGCATCTTTCCACTTTCCACATAACATCGGAGAGGCAGACATTACATTTTAGTTTCAGAGAACTTCAGCTCAAATAGTTTCTACTTCTCTTCTGACCCACAGTCTTAGCTTCACTACTACAACAGAGGTCAAGATGGGTTAAGTACCACAGAGACAGGGAGGAGATCTGTGGGAGGAGGCAGGGGACGGGCGACGGGCGAGGGTGGGGAAAGAAACAAAAATGATCAAGTTTCTGTATGTGTAAATACCCATTCCCCAAGATGACTGTAATTGATGTGAATCTCAAACACATATGAATTTTTTTTAAAGGATGAGCAAATATTTTAGCTACACAACAAAAGACAGTTAAGATTTCATGTGATGGAAAGAGAAGTGGTCAATAACAGACCTCAAACGCACAACACACTGCTCTGGTTAATGGTATAAAAGTGGAGGAAGGATTTGTCACATTACATGACCAGTACCTCTGTATATTCTCCAGATTAATTCTTTAAGTGAGGTTCAAATGAAGAGAGAGAGTTAGAAGGAGAGGAAACAGGGACAGGGAGAGGAAGAGAGCAGGGAGAGTGAGAGAGGAGAGAGAGAAAGAGAGAGGGAGAGGAAAAGAGGGAGGAGGGAGAGAGAACTGGTTCTGGTGGAGAACCATACGAAGGAGCAGCAGATGGAGATGTTGGCTCCTATGCCATGATGAAATAACTGGGAACATATATTCATCTTAATTTATGTTATTCAGGAATTAATAAGAGAAAACGTCCTGTTTGGGCGTGACCATGGTCCTCACGCACATCCGGCAGCTCCCTGCGTCCTACCTCCTCACACTGGTGCTCGGTCTCAGCTTCCCACCAGCCTCTTGTCCCAGCTCCCCTCACCTGCAGCTGCAGCACACCTGGCTGTCCCAGTCTGCTTTGCTCAGTCTGCATTGCTCCCCAGCGGCTCTGGCTCCTTCTTTATGTTTGTTCAACCTGAGAAGTCTTCTGCGCCTTCCTCACCTCCTCGGTTCCACGAAGTCACATTTGTCAAAAGCCCTTTCCTGGGCCTCCCCTTAAAGCTCATTAAGTTGCTCTCTTCTGGAAGCCCTTAGAAGCCCTCTGTTTCGAGCAACTCAATTTCTAGCTTACCCCCACCACCAGTGTGGTAGGCATGTTAATCTTGACTTCCACAGCTAGTCCTTAAGAGTCCTGAGAGAAGACATCACGATTTACTGGTTCTGAGAAGGAAAGTAGTGAAGCAACTAAACCTAGCCCTCATCAATCCCAGCTGCCTCGTGCCAGCTCCTCCTGGACTGCTCTCTCAGAACTGGCCACAGTCCTCTCAAGAGTAGGTGAGGGCTGATCAACTCAGGTTCAGAGGCCAGCTGTCCAGGGGATCCGCTTGGCTGAATTACTGCACAATGGGACGGAAAAGCGGAAGAAGACAGGTGCCCCAAAACTCTGCAGATAAAGGAAATCATTTTTTTTACCTTTACCCCAAGTCAAGACTGAGACACTTCCTCTTTTTAAATTACAGCTGTTAGAGGTTTCCTATTAGAACACCTCACTCTGACTCAGACCACTGGGTTCTGTCTCAGTCAATACCCATCTTTTAAATAGAAAAATGTTGCTGATGGGAAATGTACAGTGGAACAACCTATGGCAAGATTGCCTACCAAGAAGAATTCCATCTATGGGAATGAGAAAGAAAGTCGTGCTAGCACATGTCTAAATTTGACTTGCTAATTAAGTCACATCTAAGAGGAACATAGGAGAGAACACACACACACACACACACACACACACACACACACACAATGTTGAAAGGGTGAGCAGTTTTAATATTGCCCATGCAGGCCACAAATATGAAAAAATCAGAAGTCTGTTTTTAGGAATTTGTCCAATCAGGATACAGCTGTATATTATGCTTCAGAACTTGGGTCAGAAAGTGCAATGGTTGGTGACCTAATGAAGCTTTTATGCTTTAACTCAACAAACATTTATATAAACCGCTATTTCATCAGTGTGTGTGCATGCAAATGAGGCAGAGAGATGCACGCACAGAGGGTGAGAGCTGGTGGCTCTCTTTAGACCTGGCCCTGCTAGATAGTTCATTACCCAAAGAATCAGGAGCTGTGCAACAGGCTTCCAACTCCATCCTGCTCCTCCCCTTGTTGCCATGCCGATGCATTTCTAATTACGGAGGGCAATATGGATAACTCAGCTTGTTAAATATTCAAGAGGAAATTAACTTCAACTGTTCCTCGGTAAAGACTGTGTCACGGAGAAAGTGGAACCAAGGAAATAGGCTCTGCTCAGTCCTTTCAAATCCTGGCTGTCACCCCAGGCTGGGCTTGTGGGCCCAGGAGAACCTGAGCCTCTAGGTCAATGGTGAGTCTTACCTCCATCACTGCAGGTCCTGGAGTCCGAGGCCAGGCTGTCCGTGGAGCTGGTGGTGAAACTGATGGGGACGCCCTGGAAGGATGGGCTGAGGCTCTCTGCAGAGCCCTGGCTCACTTTTTCCAAATCAGAGCTGCTCTTGTTCATTTTTAAGAGGTGCCTGGAAAAGGTAGAAACAAAGAATAAAAGTAATGTCCTTGGTTTTTGTTCGGAGATGAGGCTGGTAGGTCACGAGCCTATCGCGATCTTAAAACCTGACTGATGCTTAGATATCAAAAAAGAATCAAAAAAACAAAACCAACCAAACAACCAAACAACCAAACAACAAACCAACGAGCCACTAGGACTCTTCTGAACACACGAATGGCAGGAGATTTCCTGAATGGGTTAATAGAAGACTCTGTAAAATGCAAACAAACACCAAAATCCTCACTTGAGTGGAGGAACTAAACTGCTTTCACATTCTGACCCCCTCCATAAAGCAATTTATGCCACCAATTATATCCTGCGTGTCATCTCTACAAAGAAAAAGTAAAGCATTACCAAACAGGCCAACCTATAGAGCTCTGCAGAGGTTGAGGAGTATTTGCCAGATCCTATGACAGGCGAATTTCGAACTAGGACTAAAAACATGGGATCTCTTTATTTGCCTGGTACTTTTTTATTTAGCTTCAAGAGGTTTGCTTGGAATCAAGGAAGACTTCATTTAAATATTAACAAAAACTCTAGTGTAGCACTTAATTGGAACCAAGTTAGCATAGCCCTTTTATCTAGAACCATGGAATCTGCCCTCTGTCTTTCTGTGAAAACTTGTGTTGTATCTCCTAAAACAGCATCACCAAAATGTCAGAAATAGAAATACCAACTTTAAGAAAAAAGAGTTTCCCTAGAGAAGACAGCTCCATTATTGGGTAGAGTGCTTAGCTTATTGATTTCTCCTTTCCCCTTCCCAAGACCTACATGAATATTCACTTCTCCTCTGACATTTCCACCATGAAATGAGACAGATCACAATCAATCCAGTCCTTTCCCTGTAGGCGGTAACCCACATTTGTCTGAACTTATATTTCCTGACAACATTCCTGTTCCTAAGGAAGATCTATATTTCACAACACACTATTGATTTGGCATCCAAAATCACTGTATTTAATGCATATGACCTTACCATCAAGAATTCATTGATTATTCTTTGTGTACAACACTGCCAGCCCTGGGTTAGTTTTCAGTCATTGGAATCCCTTGCTTATAACAGAGAAGTTTAGAGAAAGTTTATAGCTACCCTGAAAAGTGCTCTTCAGAAAACAAGTCTCTCTCCACATTATCAACTTGTAGAACCATATTAAAGACGTTTTAAAGTCATCAAATATTAAGCGACTGCAACAACAGTGTTACAGACCAACAGAAGTCTTAATACTATTTTGGTACCACTGTTGGGAATCTTAGAAATAATCAAATCCTATGTGATCTTTATCTAACATTCTGCCAGAATACAATTATATAAAGCTTATTTTCTTTTTCACACAGGCTTCTCACTATGTTGTCTCTGCTGGCTTCCTGATCCTTCTTCCCCAGCCTCCTGTGTAGCTGGAATTACAGGCACAAACCACTACACCCAGCCTTACCATATCCTCCCTGGACCCATCAACAGTGGCTTTCTCAGGCGAGGCCAGGAGAGCAGTTTGTGATAACGACAACTTCCCATTCTCAGAGAACAGTCAACTCCAGGACAGCCTAACTCCTCAGCTCTCCAGAGCTGTTCTAGAACCCAGGCCCTGAATGTTACCAAGGGAGAAATTCTGGCACAGAGTCCCCACCCCACAAATTTAGAGAACAACCCAGGCTTGGTGCAGAGACAAAACCAAAGATAGTCGTAAATATGTTCATGTGTGAACACACACACATACACACACACATACACACACAATTCTTGCAGTAACAGTCATGCTGGAAAGAAAAGAATTTTCGGGTGGGTGCTGGATGCAAAGAAGGAACTCAACACCTCAACACCACAGTGGTACCTGGGATGCTCCAATACTGTGTGTCCTACTGGTTTTGGTATATGCTGTTTCTAAGCTTAATGAAGTTTGTTTCTATTCCCAGTTTTTTAAAGAGCTTTATATTTTTAATTTACTTGCAATTACTAGACTTTATCAAATGCTTTTTGTACATCTATGAGAAAAACATGTTTCTTCTTTGTTTTGCTAATCTGATGACTTACATTAATAACTCTGCTTTTACTAATAGCTTTTTTTTCTTTTTGAGACAGGGTTTTGCTGTGTATCCTGGGCTGCCCTCAAACCTGCCATCTTCCTGCCTCAGACTTCTGAGTGCTGAGACTACAGCTGTATGCCACTCCTACTAAAAACTTTTCTAAATCAGACCATGCTTGCACACTTTGCATAAACTTATTGCTGGATTCAGTTTTGCTGATATTTAATTTCAGATTTTTTTACTTAATTTCAAATAGAGGCTAGCCCATAATTGTTCTTTCTTGTCTTGTTGTTATCCCTTTTGTTATACAGGGCAAATTAGAATTACAGCATGAATTGAGCAAACTTTTCAATTATCTGATGTAGTTTTATAAGGATTATGCAATCCCTGAAAGGGTTACAACCTACTGAAAATTCATCAAGGCCCAGCTGTAGGACAAAGGCCATCACAGAGATTTAGTTCTGATAAATCTAGGAGCAGTGTTTTGAGGACAGAGATCCAGGAAGCAAACCCTTCTATACTGAAGCTTGCTAGGGAAACAGCACTGCATTGAGGTAAGATGGACAGGTCTGCTCCTCACACCAACATCAGATATCTGTGATGGAAAAACACAGAGAGCAGCAGCACTGTATCTCATACCCAACACAAACATCATCTTGCTTATTTTTTTTTTTTTTTGAGACAGGGTCTCACTAATTTCCCCAGGCTGGCTTTGAATTAGTGGTGCTCCTGCCTTAGCCTCCCAAGTGTTGGGATTAAAGGTATATGACAACACACCCAGTCAACATGAACTTTGAGGAGAGAGAGAGAGAGAGAGAGACAGAGAGAGAGAGAGAGAGAGAGAGGAATTTGAAATCTTTTAGAAGAAAATCTTATGACCATAAAGTAGGAAAGGATTGAGGAAATAAGATTTAAAAAATACAGGAAACATTAGATTAATTTTACATCTTTAAAATTTAAAACTTCCATCTACTAAAATATAAAGTACCATAAAGAAGGTAAAATAACCAATCTTGGAATGGACAAGCCATTATATTTGCAACACACATGAACGGTAAAGTATCGGTATTCTGATTATAAATAAGAATGGCTAAAAATGTACGAAACAGACAAGCTCATTTTAAAGAGGACAATGGAGATAAAAAGGCAACTCACAAAAGAAAAATAGGCAAAGCCAGTCTACATGTGAAAAAATGATCAACCTTACTAGTACTGTAATCAGATAAAACTAAACCAAGATTTCGTGTCACACCCATCAATCAGGTCAGATCAGACTGCAATATAGGTACTATTAAGGATACAGGAAAACAGGAACTGTATTGCACTGTTTGTGGGACACTGATTAGTGTACACACACACACACACATAGGATAACTAGCGAACAAACACTGAAAGTTAAATGAACACATTTCTGTAATCCAGGGGCTCCATTGTGGGATATAACTATCCTTCGAGAATATTAATCAAATCACTATAGTAAATGAACACTGAAATCATTGTAGTAGGTCACAGCCATTTACAGAACAAAAGTTTATTCCAACAAAATAGAACTGACCAGAAAGTATGAAACTAAATATAATAAGGATTTGTGAAACTTTGTTTTGTTTCAAGTGCGTGTTGGATCATGATATTAAATATACTTCCTAAAGAGAATCATACTCTTTAAGAAATCCTTACTCCCAGGGATTTAGCTCAGTGGTGCCGCGACTTGCCTCGCAAGCGCAAGGACCCAAGTTTGATCCACAGCACCAAAAAAAAAAGTAGATTAAGGATTGATATTTTTCCTTAAGCATCCAGATGGCAACTACTTGAGGTTCATGGACCACACTGACTGTGGTGCAACTACTAGAGTCTACAGGAAAGCAGCCATAGACTGTATCTCAGTGAATAGGTATGTTTTCCAAGAAAACTTTATTTATAAAAATAGATGGCTAGATTGTGAACAATAGGTGATTAACTCTTGCTCTAAAATAACCTTGTCTACTAGAAATATATCTGAAGCCCTATGTATAATTTAAAAATTTCTAGTGATTGGATTACAAAATATGAAATGTGATATTCATTTTAGTGATGCATTTTAATAATGATGTATATCAAATATTGTCATTGCAACATGTAATAAAAATTTTTAATAAGACATTTTATATTCTTTTCTTATTTTAAATCTTTAAAACCTAGTATGTATGTACATTTATAGTACATTGCGATTTGGACTAACTACACTAGGCTAGTAGCTACTGTACTGTACAGTGCAAACTTAGAAAAACTCTCTTACATGGATAAGGATGTATAGAATGTTACAAATACCAAAAATAAAATTATAAATAGTTCAACTGTTCATCAAGAAAGGAATAAAGTATACTATCGCGTTATGGCAGAATACCACATAGCAGTAAAAAATAAACTGGATTGTGCACCAATATGAAAAAAATCTTAAAATGTAAGAATTAAAAGGAGTTTACAAAAGTCTCAAGTATAGTGTGATACCATGTATATACATTTTAAAAGCACATGATAATTTGGATTTTTGTAGCTCACAAAAATACAAACAATGCTCATTAAGTTCAAAACAGTAATTGATCTGGACAGCAATGGGGGTTGAAATAACATTCACAGATGGAGAGAGCTACCACTATGTCAGTAATGATTGATTCTTTAAGACATCTATGGCTGATAGTGTAGCCCAGTGATAGAGCATGTGCTTCATATGTACAAAGCCCTTGGCTCAATACCCAGCACCACCAAAAAAATAAAAAAATCTGAAACTAATGGCAAAGTGCTAATATTAGAAAAATCTCAGGGGCCATACTTGACTGTCAATTAAACTGCTCTATGAAGTTCATTGTATGTTTGAAGTATTTGATAGATTAAAAAAGGTGTAGGGGAAGTGGGAAGGGAAAGGGAAAGGAAATAAGGGAAAAGAAAAAAATACAAGAAAATGGAAAAATG